TTGCACTGTGAGGCTCCCCCTGGAGCTATTTTTAACTCTGTATCCATTTGTACTCGGTGTCTTAAACTGTTTCAATAAAAAGTGACCATTTGTTACCGAGCTGCGCGTCCCTCGGGCGGTGTGCCGCGGTTCTGTTCCGGGGGAAGGGGCGGGCAGCGCTGAGGGCGCGGCCGGGCTGTGCATGGCGGAGGGCGCGGCGCTGCGGGCCGTGAGGGACTGCCTGGCCGCCTTCCCGCGGGAGGCCCGCGGTGAGCGCCGCAGCTGGGGCGGGCCGGGCCGGGGGAGGCCGCGGTGCCCCCGCCCGGGGCGGGCAGCGGTGCTGGGCCGGCTGTGCCGCCGCCCGTGGGGAGCAAAGCTCGGTGAGACCGGCCTCGGCCGGCGGCTGCGGCTGGGGCGAACAGAGACACCCGCTCTGCTGCCAGCATGGTGGTTCCGAGATCAGGGTGAAGCAGAAAGGCCGCCCCAAAATAAAAGCGAGACTCGAGAAAACGGCCCTTTAGTGGCTGTTTTTCTGTATATAAAATATACAAAACAAAGCACGGTTCCTGCTTCCAAAAGCCCATCCTGTGGTACCGCCTCTGTGTGGGAGATGCACCTCCTGCAGCACAGCCCCTTTMTCCCCACAGGTGCTAGCTTGAGGTTTCCATCTGGCTCTGAAACCCCCCTAATGCTCACTGGGTTTTAACAGAGGGATTTCTGGATCTGTGGAGGACACTGCTTGGTGTCAGCGTGGTGTGGTTTGTGAAGCCTGTCTGTGCTGGCAGGAGCTACTTTTGGGATGCTGAGTAACACTGTTCATTGTTTGCCTGGACAGAGCTRGGGTGGCCGGAGTCCATACCCTATCTTGATAGGCCTCCATCCCCGCTGGAGTTTTATCGGGAGTGGGTGAGTCSGAATAAACCCTGTGTAATTCGCAATGCCATCAGCCACTGGCCGGCTCTGAAGAAATGGACCTCAGCGTACCTCAGGTATGAGCGAGCTACAGAGCAGGACTGATGTTCAGTTTTGGGCGACCTCACTAAAAACCCCTTGGTTAATCTTTGCTTTTCTTTGTAAGATTAGCTCAGATTCTTTCCTGGTTCTGTGCAAAGGTGTTCAGTACTCCCAACATCAGGTGTGTTTTCCTTGCACACATATTTCCCCACCAGCTCCCATGCAGCCAGGAATGTGGGTGTTTTGGCTTTGTGCAGCCAACAGACCCAAGCTATTTAAACCCAGCCAGCTGGAGTGGGGCTGTAGTACTGTAAGAGCAGACTGACTTGTGATTGAGCGCACCTCATTTTCTTCAAAAAACAAAATGGATGAGCATTTTAACARTGACTGAAATTTTAAAGAGAAGTGCTTTAAGGCGCATTTATGGTTAAACCTAAAATCTGTGGGTCAGATCTAATTCTGAGGTTCAAGAGTTTCAAAGCTAAGTATATTATGTAACTAAGGACTCTTAGCCTCATGGGGTGTGTATCTACCAGTTTTTGTTCACCTCTTCTCCATGATCAATTGCTTTTGCACATGTGAACCTTTGGATTTGGCTGGGTTGAATGGCCATGACAATATCAACCTCTGCCACGATTGGTGAAACAAGTGGCTGAAGAGGGCTCTCTGTCTGCAGAGAGGAAAAAGGAGCTTCTTTGTGAACTGCTGCTAGGAGAGAATTGAGAGGAAAAAGAAGCTAGAGTTGCCTTGACTGCAGGGGGCAATTGGTGCAGAATGCCAGAGTCCTTACCAGACAGTAGAAAGTTTAATCTAGAGACAACTATCTGTGGAAAGACAGGCARCTTATTTTGTTGCCCTTGAAACATGTTTTGAAAGTAACCAGTATGTAATATGTGAGCTAAGCAGGCCTGGATATAAAGCTTTGATTTGTTTTGCAGGAAGGTAGTGGGTCCCAAGGTGGTGAGTGTGGCAGTGACACCAAATGGTTATGCAGATGCAGTGTTTCAGGACCGTTTTGTCATGCCAGAGGAGCGCCAAATGCCTTTCATGGACTTTTTAGACATTGTGGAGAAGAAAGTGACCTCTCCTAATGTATTCTACGTGCAGAAGCAGTGTTCAAACCTCACTGAGGAGTTCCCTGAACTGGTCTGTGATGTGCAGCCTGACATACCATGGATGAGTGAGGCACTGGGTAAACCCTGTATTTCTCATGTGTACAGTAAATATTTTGCAAGAGCTTTAAAACAGTCACACTAGGTACTTGGAGAACGCTGTTCTCTTTCTGAATGCCACAGCTCAGTTTGGTTTCATCCTTTTAGAAAGCAGAAATGGTAAAATACCTAATAGAGTAATCCAAGCTTTGCGGTTGGGTTACTCTGGAATCAGTATCTCTCTTGTGGATTGGGACCTTCACGACTCAAAAAATGTCATGTAGCACTTCTTTACATTGAGTGGCTTTTCTCTGATGTAGAGTCATGTTTTGGCTCAATATTTCCAGTGTAGAAGGAGGTTGCTGTTTACTGAGTGCTATTTGCAATAAAACCTGTCATAATTATGAAGGATGTTATAGGACAGAATTTGGCTGAAATTGGCAGAAAATTATGTGAAATACTTTAAAAAATGAMACAATTTGTTTTGTTGTTGTCATCATATCTCTTTCCCCTAACTATACAGGGAAGAAGCCTGATGCTGTGAATTTCTGGCTTGGGGAGTCAGCTGCTGTGACATCTTGTAGGTATCCTATGGCACTGTAAGTCTTCTGTGTGATTTCAGCATAGGTTTAAGCTGACTTGTTTTGAGTTAGTGGCTTGGGGGATGGTGAGGTTTTTCTGACAAGGCAGTTCTATTTTAACATGCTTTTTTTGCATTCTTTATTCTGCCCTTTTGCAGCCTCCTACTGCTGTTTCTCTGGGTGCATCTACCTGGCATTGTGTCAGGCATGGCATTGACTGTTTTATTAAATGCATTTGCTTCAGTGTGGTATTGTGACTTTCCCACTGGCCACAGGAGGAAGAAACAGCCTGATAATAACAGGGAAAGCTGACACTTTCAGTTTATTATAGTTTCTGCTACAGAGAAGGAAATAGCATTGATTTTCTGCCTTTCTCCACATTTCTCTTTTTTTTTTTCTCAATCCTAGTACATAAGGATCATTATGAGAACTTGTACTGTGTGGTATCTGGAGAGAAGTATTTTCTACTGCATCCACCAAGTGACCGTCCCTTCATCCCATATGGTACATCATTTTACTGTACAATATGTCTCTGAAGGTTGGAGGGAGGACAGACTAAAACACTGAAAGATGAAAAAAAAGGAAGCAGCGATAACATCTTGATTTCTATGCAGTGTTATGCTTTCTGGTGTGAACAGAAATCTCTTGTTTTTCATGCTGTAGGTAGTTTGTAATACAAATGTTATTCTGAGGTCAGGTTTTCCAGTCCAGTAAAGTAATGGGTTTTCATTGATTCACACCTTGAGTCCTGTGTCCAGTTCTGGGCCACTCAGTTCAGGCAGGACATTTAGATGTCACTGAAGTGAGTCCAGAGAAGGACATTAAAGCTGGTGAAGGTTCCAGAGGGTAAATCCTATGAGGAACAGCTGAGGGAGCTGGGGTTGTTTAGTCTGGAGGAAAGGAGACTCAGGGGCAACCTCTTCACTACCTAGAACTCCCTGAGAGGAGGTTGTACCCAGGTGGGGTCAGGCTCTTTTCCCTGGCAACCAGGGACAGGATGAGAGGTAACCRTCCCAGGCTGTGCCTAAGGGAGGTTTAGATTTGTCATTGGGAGGAATTTCTTCACATGAAAGGTGATTAGATATTGAAATGGACTGCCCAGGGGGGTGGTAGAGGCAGGTGTTTAAGAAAAGACTGGAGGTGGCACTTAGTGCCATGGTTTAGTTGACAAGGTATGGTTCAGTCATACCTCGGACTCAGTGATCTCAGGGGATGTCAGATCTCATCTCTTGATGTGTTTTTCAACCTAATTGATTCTGTGATACTTGCGGCAGTCTCTTCAGCTTTAGAATATTTAAATTATTTAAGTATTTTGTCAGTGTTGTAGCATGTCATCTTTGATGTTTCACAGGTTTGGATTCTGTCTGCCTGGATTTCTCTAGGAAAAAAAAAAAAAGCCTGGAAGCTAAAAAATGAGTTGTATTTTAATGAAATATTCAAGCTACTAACTGAATCTGTGAAAACTGGAGAAATGAAAAAAGAGATTCTTATGGCAGCATTGCTTCACATTGCCTGTTTTCTATTTCTTTATGTTGCTTTCTATGTGCACAGCAGTAGCTTGTTTTGTTGCAGTGTCATCTAGAAGATGGGCAGCCTAACTTTATGCCTCATAAGACTTAATTTTCCCATTCCTTCACTTCAAACTATCAGATTAAGTGAATGCAGAGTGCTCTATGAAACAAATATAATTTTACCTAGATGTGTGTGTTGCTATAATACTTTATTTATATTGGTTTTATTTTGTTTACAGCCTTGAAGTCATAGAATCACAGAATGGTTTGGGTTGGAAGGGACCTAGAAGATCAATCCCCCTGCCATTCAATAGACCAAATTGCTCAAAGCTGCATCCTGCCTGACCTTGAACATTTCCAAGGACAGAGCATCCACAACTTCTCTGGGCAGCCTGTTCCAATGTCTCATGACCCTAATTGTAAAAGAATCCTTCCTTATATTTAATCTAAATCTGCCATGTCTCACTTTGATACCATTAGCCCTTGTCCTGGCCTTGGTGAAAAGTCTTTTCCTGACTTTTTTATAAGCCCGTTTTAGGCACTGGAAGGCCACAATGAGGTTTCCTCAGCACCTTTGCTTCTCCAGGCTGATCAACCCCAGCTCCTCAGCTTTTCTTGGAGAGGTGGTGTTATATGTATGTGAATGTATGAAATACATTCATACATCAATGTGTGTGATAGAAGCCATTTGTAAAACAAGTTACYATTAAAGCATAGAACAGAGATACAATTCTTACATTTCATAGTGTGTAGTAAAAAGAGAATTCCATCTCTTTGAGCATTAGGTTAATTAATGGAGAGAAACTCTCTCAAGGGAGGGCTTAGAAAACCACATGTGCTGAAGCAATGAAAAAAAAGCAGCCAGCAGTATCTGAAGAAGTTGATGAGCCCTATCAATTAAAATTAGAAGTGAAAGGCTGGCCACAAGCCACTATTAGCTCTTGTCACTCTAGTTTCCTAGACTGACCTARGGAGAAACACCCAGCTATAAAATTATGTGTAAATCAGGAATGCATTTATGACTTCTTAAAAGGAAAGAAGACAGTTACTGGAACAAAATAGGACTGGGATGCAAATGGGCTTTTAGGAGAATAATTTCTGAGAAGAAAGAAGGTTGGAATTAGAAACAGGAAGGCACCTTAGAATTCAGACTGACCTAAAAAAGCCAATGGATAAAATTTGAAATGTCAAAGGGAAGAATAGGGAGTACAGTAAGTTGAAAATGGTTTTATCTTTATTTTTCTTTTACTTGATGCGAGTGTGACGTGTCCTGATATTAGATTCTCAGACGTGTGTCGTTTAATTCTTTCTCTGGTTCCAGAGCTCTATCAGCCAGCAACCTACCAGGTATCAGAAGATGGTTCATTTGAAATTGTGGATGAGAAGACTGAAGAGAAGGTAAAAGTTTGTAAAGAATGAAATGAATACTACAGAGAGAGTTTGGGGCATTGCTGAACCCTCAAACTAAGCAAATTGATTCATATTTAGAAATTCTTCATTACTGGAAAGAGAATRCCCAGATATTTCACTTGTATTTTAGTATTTGCAAAGGGTACCCAGCTTCTAGAACAGATTTTTACTGCACATCTGAAACCGTTAATATCATAAACTTGCCTTGTATCAGACTTAAAACACATTTGCTAAAGAACTTTTGAGCATATCAGCAATAAAGGAACTGAATTGCATTATGCCTGAAATAGACCCCTCTACATTCATTTTCTTTTGGCCCTCTACTCAAGTCTACAGTGCTATCACCCAGTGCAATAAAACATACCTTCTGAATGAATAAGTTGTATTTTCTTAGTAACAGCAATATTTATTTGATTAAAATGTTTCGATCTAGAGGCACTTTACAAACCTCAGTAGAATCTAATCCATCGCCTTTTGCCTCCGCAAACTGTGAGTAATGCTGCAACAGAACTTGAGCTGGGGCTTGTTTTCTGTTTCCAGAGTGGTGCTCATGGAATCTTATTGGTGTTGTGCAGTAAGGTTGGAATGCTGAGGTTTATAATTCTGTAGGTCAGAGAAAAAATTAGTGCACGCAAGAAGGACTTCCCAGCAAGAAGGGGAGTTTTAGCTGCTGTGAGTTAAAAAAAAAAAAAGAAAGGAATTTCTATAAAGAATGATGCTGATAAAGTATTTCAGTACTGAATGTAGGAGGAACAAATGACTTAAGGGGCTGGAGGTGTTTTGAAAGTATTGCCACATGACTGCAGTTTCATGGATGACTTTTTTTGCCTTTTCCCTAATTAGAAATGCACCATTGAAGGAGGCACATTTCTGCATCCTTGACCTATTCCCAATTGAATGTGGAAAGCTGTGTAGCTGTACATGTTTTGCCAGACAAAGTACATATTTTGTAACCTAGTGAGTTTGATTATCAGCTGTGTTTCTGGAAGCTTGCTGGATTTTTTTTCCCAGGTCAGTTCCATATACACACTCTTTTGCCTTTAGGTGCCCTGGATCCCTCTGGACCCCTTGAATCCAAATCTAGAACTGTATCCAGAGTATGCTCAGGCAAAACCTTTGCAGTGTACAGTGAAAGCTGGTGAGATGTTATATCTGCCTTCTCTCTGGTTCCATCATGTTCAGCAATCACATGGCTGTATTGCAGGTAAAATAGACAGTATTTCCAGATACATTTTTGAACTGTGATGGGTGTGCAGGTAGCTATCCCATAGCAAAGCATCACTGAGGCCATCTTCTGCTCAAGTGACTCTCCAGTATAGAGTCTGAAGTTGATTTGCATTAAGACAGAGTTGCATTGGCAGCACTATTGAAGAGCTCTGTTTGAAGAGCTCTGTTGTTTGCATTATTTTCGGCTGTACCCAAAGGTTTGCACATTTCAAAGTTCAGTCAGTAATAAGGAAAAGCCTGTACTAACTGAACTGTGTAAAACAGTCTGTGAACACATTTGTAAATCATTACGTTCTAGCCCTAAAATGTTTTTCCCTTTTCTTGTCTCCTCAGTGAATTATTGGTATGACATGGAATATGACATTAAGTACAGCTATTATCAACTACTAGAATGTCTCACAAAAACTGTGAAAATGCGGTAGCAAAGGTGGGAGACTCGAGCTTGTCTGWTTCTGATGTGATACAATCATCAGCATCTGTGACTGGAGTACAAACACAATTCACCCAAAAAGAAGTGAACATGAAATTATTGTCAACAACACCTGCCAAATACATCATGGCTATTTTGCTTGATTTCAGAGTCCAGACCAATTGGCCAGAATTGTTGGCTTGTGAATAGAACTTTGATAATAGCATTTTTAGGCCTTTGCGTGTTGCTTCAGTGATGGTGAGCAAAACAAAATTTGAAGGGAGGCAATCCAGGTTTTGAAAATCCCAAAACGGAAGCCTTGGCTGTTTGTTCAGATCTACAGATTGTTTTCATAACGACCCAAGTGGCCAAGGAAGGATCTGCTCTGCCACCCACCTGTGCATCAGGCTGCATCAAGCTCCATCAGGCCAACAAATGCATTCTGCTTAAGGCAAAAGTTCTGTCCTGTTGTAATTCACCAAGTTCASTGGCTGTGGTGTTTTGATGATGAGAAACTACAACTTCAGCAATAAATAGGTCAGTTTAAAAGCGTGTTTCTGTACTATCTTTTCCCAAAGTAAGCAATGGCTGGAGGACATTCAGGAGGACATAAAATCAATGTTGGCTCTATTCCACATTAAGCTACATGTTTTTATTGCTGTTTTGTGTTTCTTTCCACTGTTTTCTTTAAACATAGCTGCATTCTCATCCATCCTGAGAGATGATTTTAGAGTTGCTTTGCCATATCTGCAATCAATCTGCAGATCATCTGTGTTCTTGTGGCATGATGTGTGATTCTGCGCCTTGTAGGCTCATTGATTGTTTCATTCCTTTGCCATTAATTGCTGCTTAGTGCATGGTTAGGCAAGGTRTTTGAACCAGGAGCCTATTTCTTCAGCCATAGTTCCCATTTGTATTTCCACAGAATTGGATGAGAATACTACATGTCTGAGACCCCCGGGGTAGAACTTGAAGGCTATTAAATACACAGACATTGTAAAAATGTAATATTGTTGTTTATGAAAACTAATAGCTGATGTTTATTGCCAAATCTTCAAACAGGCCCTTAGAAACATTAGCAATATGGGGGAAATTTATTTTACATATATTCGTTAGGAAAATACACATACTGTTTTAGACAAGATTGATTATTGGATAGAAAATATAGTAATTGTTTTACTTTATCTGTTTATTTTATTTTTTAAAGAAACATAGCACAAAGTTTCATGTTACCTTGTGGTGTTTGTCTAAAAATGGCAGACAGCTCAAGAGGGATTAAGAGCAGGCTTTGTTTCGTGGCTAGATTAAGATGTCATGCTATGTCAAGCTTTCCAGCTCGGTTGTGTTTACTTTGTCTTGGCAAAGGCTCCCARGCCAGTTCTGCAGTCAGATCTGGAATTTCCTGCAGCTGGGGGCCTRCAATTTGGATATCTCCTTTTGTTGCATAGGGGTTTTTAATTTAGTCTCTATAACCAAAAGTAAATGCAGTCGCCAAGAACAAGTGACAGCTTGTGCCCGTGCAAGTGTCGGGTGTCACTGTGCCTGCCACTCCTCCCGGAGTGTCTGCAGGGAGGCGTGCTCGGAACTACGGCTCCCAGCAGCCCGCCCTGGCCGACCGAAGGAAGTGCTGACGGTGATTCCTCCTGGACTTTGGACACGGATTTTAATCCCGATAAGGACAGGCTGTCGAGGGTCGTGTGTCACGCAGTTCCAGGCAGCCCAGGGAAGGGTCGCAGCGCTCCGTCCAGCCGAGCAGGGATGGCCGTGCGGGTGGCCGTGCTGCCGTCCCCCCGGTGCCTGTTCGATGACCCTGTGCAGATCCGGGTGGCCGGTCTGCAGCCGCAGCAGGCGGTCACCCTCCGAGCCAGCCTGGTGGACGAGAGCGGGGAGCTTTTCCAAGCCCACGCTCTCTACAGAGCTGGGAGCAGCGGAGAGCTCGACCTCAGCCGCTCCCCAGCGCTGGGGGGCAGCTATGTGGGAGTGGAGCCCATGGGGCTGCTCTGGGCTCTGCARTCCAAAACGCCCTATAAGCGCCTGGCAAAGAGGAACGTCCTGACCCCCTTCTGTGTGGACTTGGAAGTGTATGAGGGCCATGGGGACATGAGCCGATTGCTGGGAAAATGCACCAATGAACGATGGTTTTTAGGAGAGGGGGTGAAGAGGATTTCGGTCAGAGAAGGTCGACTCAAGGCAACCCTATTCCTCCCTCCTGGTGAGTTTTAAATCCATTCTAGTTTCCCAGGTGTGACTGACACCACGTATTGTGCCCAGGGTCCCTGAATGCACTCAGCAACSCAGAGCAGAGCCTCAGCTAACACTTCCCTCAGTCTCTGCCTCTCCAGATACTTGGATCCTAACAGCAGAGCAGAGGAGCTGGTGTTGCCCAGCAGGGCAAAGGCAAAGGCAGGGGTATGTGGTGCTGCAGGAGGGCAGCAGTGGTAACACAAGGTGTCTCCTGGTTGTTCTAGTTGAGTGTCTTGACCCCTCCTGCAGTGAGAGTTCTGTCAAAAACAGTGCTTATTTCTTAGCTTTTCTGTTTAGCTGACAGGACAAAGAGGCCTCTGGTCCTTGGCGGAGCTGTGATGCATGACAGCTTTGGCTATGAGAGAAGAAGGCACAGTGGGAACACTGGACTCAGGCTGCAGCCAGCCTAGGCTGCTCCAGCAGCTGCTACAGATCTTCCTGCAGGCTCTGGACTTGTCTCTCTGTGTCTCTCTTTAGCTAAGGAAAAGCCAAAGAAAGAAGTCTCTRCCTGATTGAACAGCTGGACTACATAACATACTCAGGAAAATGGGAGACAAATGGAGAAAGGAATATCTTTAATTAAACAGGTGCCATATTTCTCAGCTCCATACACAGAGCGTGCTGAGAATGGATCCTGTGCAGAGCTCCTTTAAGCCCTGATGTATCTCTGCTACTTGAGTGGAACTTAAACATGGCTCTCTTGCTTTGTAATTTACAAACAGTTCCTTGCAGCTGCAGCAACACCACATCTTCTGGGAATTCTGGCTATAAGAATGGGCAGAGCAGCAGCAGGAAAGGAAGGTCCTATTGCTGCAGGAGWGCCAGAAGCCCAGGGGTAGTTACCAAGATCTTGCTGATGCCTGAATTRGAACAGGCCCATGCTGGCATTTGTGAGTATCTTTCGTAACCCAAGTAGCCCCTCCATGGCATAGCTGCTAGCACAGTTCCTAAGGAAGAGCCACTTCAGCAGTAATACTGTTTGTTCATTGCTCCTCGATGGCCTGAGGATTTGTAGACCAATGCCAGCTGAAATTCAGGATGAGAGAAGGATGTCTGACATGTGAACTTCCTGTAATGAGTTCCTAAGAGAGAAAATAAATAATCCAAATTCATGTCCTTGCAGTCATTTTATGTGTTCCTGAGAATGACAGCCACCATGGAAAGCTTCGGAGGATGATTTTCTTCTGRTGTCTACTGTCCTGATGTGTGCTGAGGGGCCACCACAAAAGGACAACTGTAGGAACTTCTGTTTTTGCTTATACGTACACACCCCTTTTGTTGCAGGACCTGGCCCATTCCCTGGACTTATTGATTTGTATGGATCTGGAGGAGGTCTTATTGAATACAGAGCAAGTCTCCTAGCCAGCAGAGGCTTTGTGACTCTGGCTCTGGCTTACATGTCCTTTGAAGATATCCCTGCTATGCCAGAGGCTCTTGAACTGAGCTATTTTGAGGAGGCTGTGAACTTTTTGCGGAAGCAGCAGCAGGTAGGAGACAAATTATGGTGCTTGTCCTGTTGGAAACTATTTTCCAGTTTTCTGATCAGTTCCTGGAGTAGAAGTTAAAAAATGGCTTAGGCAGGACATATTTATTTTTTACTAGTTTTGCATTTTTTAAGGTTTTGGCTTTTTTACTATTTTATTGGCTTTTTTACTGTTTCTGAGATATTACAGGCTTTTGATTCTGAGTAAGTTTTGCTGGATAGTAATAAAACACTCTTTAACAACTGAGTCCCTTACAGCTGTAGCACTGGAGGTGTGATGTATGCTAAGAAGCTGAGGCTGTATTTGAACAAATGTGTGGGACAAGAAAAAGATACTTTATAGCAATGCATCATCATACTTAACCCAAAAAATGACCAACAGAAATCAAGTAGCATTAAAAAATTTAATGCAATGATACTTAATATGTATTTGTTTTGCCAAGTTATTTACTTTCTGTCTGTCCCATGGACACCAGGCTCATAAGGCAGTGTGAGAGCAGAATTCAGCCTTGCTTGTTTTGTTCCTCATAGAGCTCTGAAACATCTAGACTTCAATGTGAAGAGCCGTCACTAGAAATGAGTTTATTTAAGCAGCTATTTGGCTTAGGTGTAATGAACATTATGTCTTCCAAGACAAAACAGAAAAAACAGGTCAGCTGTAGCAGAGWATAGAAGAAACTGCAATAAAGAAATTAAATGCAAGTAAACCCAGGACAAAGTGGCTTGGACAGAAGAACAGTAAAAGACATCATACTGAGAGCAGGCCTTGCCAGGATGTGGAGGGAGCAAAGGCATTTTGTCTGTACAAATCACCAGGAGGGAAACATGTTACAGGAGGAGAAATGCCAAGGAGAATTCATGGTCACTCTTTTGGAGGCTCAGCAGAAGGATAGATGATGGAGTAATATAACGTGAACATGGAGAGGAAAGGGGCAAAACATGAGTGGTCTTAGTTGGAGGAGGAGAGATGAAGTAGAGCTGGAAAGGTTATGTAGGCTCAGGAAATAAAGAGTGGTTAATAACATTGTTGTCATAATTCTGTTTCAGGTGAAGGATACTGGGATTGGTGTTTTGGGCTTGTCTAAAGGAGGTGATCTAGCTCTTTCCGTGGCCACGTTTCTACCTGGCATCAAGGCAGCTGTCAGCATATCTGGAAGTAGTTTTAATTCCTTCGTGCCCCTGAAGGGGGATGGCTTCACTATTCCTGTCCACCCATATAACTTGGAAAGGATTARGATGACTGAGGAGTCTGGACTAGCAGACTTTTCAGATGTCTTAGATGATCACATGGAYCCAGCAACTTGGGATTGTCGCATTCCTGTGGAGAAGTCCTCAGCAAAGTTCCTCTTCCTGTGTGGACTGGATGACAAGAACTGGAAAAGTMCCCTCTATTGCCAGGAGGCTGTTCAGCGCCTTCAGCAGCATGGACGGGAAGTGGAGTTTTATTCCTACCCTGGAGCAGGGCACCTCCTGGAGCCACCATACTTGCCTCTGTGCCAGGTTTCAATCCACAGGGTGCTTGGGATGTTTGTGCTTTGGGGAGGGCAGTGGAATGAGCATGCTAAAGCCCAAGAAGATGCATGGCGCAGGATACAAGCCTTTTTCTSGAAACATTTGATGGACTCAGACATCCCTAAGAGCAAGCTGTAGTGGAAGCTGTCAAAGATTCTGGCCGGGGTTGGTATTTCAGCATTTGCTGGATCTTGGAAACTCACCAAAAGCTTCCTGGACTGCCTTCCTCTAAACCCTACTGTTGCATAGTTGTTTATTTTCATTCCCCAAATAATTTTCCATTTTCTAATTGAATTTCAGTTGACTTCTGGCCCCACCTTCACTGTAGATTGGCACCATCCAGTCTGTGTGCTGTAGTCTGAAATAAACCCAGCATCCCATCATCTATATTGCATTTGTACTGAGCTATCCTTGCCCTCAATCTGCAACCATCTCCTTTCACAAAAGGAAATACTCTGACAGGAGGAGTTTTCCACTGAAGTATGTGTGTGTGCTTGAGATTATCTCAGTGAAGCCTTCAACTRTCTTTACACCTGTCAATGCATTTAGGGACAGTCCAGGTGTAACCACAAAGMTGTCACGTCACCCAACAGAGGAAGTYATGAACAGAAGTCCTCACCTTCTGTCAGGAATAGAAGTGCTGGAGTCTGTGGTTTTGCACAGTGCTCAAGATGAGGGGGATACAGATATGCCAAGTACTTGCACTCATATGGTGAAAGTTTATCTCCGTTTTGGGGAGGAATAATAAAGCTGCTGCTGCTGAGTTCCCAKCAGCTCTGTGGGGCAGGCTGCCTCAGTGATTCTGCTACATAGCAGACAGCTGTGGGCTCAGTKACAGCTAAAAAATACCACTACTTTGAGAGAGAACTGACCTCACCTTCTGGAGAGAACGTGCATTTTCTTGCCCTTTACCAGTGTCCARACCTGCCAAGGGTGGCTGTAATCTACCTTGTGCCTTTGTGAGATAGTGGCAAACAGCAGCTATGAGTCAAATGGCATCAACAGAGCAAATTTTGCCTCCTGGACCAGTCAAGACTCACACCCTGGCCACAGAAAAAAGCAGGAGCTGGAAATCTCTGCATTGCATTGAGACAGGAAAATCTTGCCTTTAACAATATAACCCCTTGATTTCCAGTTCCTGCTGAGAGAAAAGGCCTGTGGGAGCCTGGATCCTGCTGAGGGAGGAACCATGCCCTCAGTTTTCTTGCTTCAGGGATCAATGGCTACTGAAAATGAGCATGTTTGGCCTCAGAGGGCTGGGATYTCTCTCATACAGTATTTTCAACGCAGACTGTGCCCCTTCAGATACTTCTGATTTTCCTGACCCCAATTGGTAGATGGGTACCATGTAGCTGAAGGTGTGAGTAGTTAAGAGTAGGGACATCTCTGTCCTGCTCATCTGTACTGTTCATCCATCAAGTCTGATGCTGTTGCCTTTTACTTCATGTCTGTTTGTCCCTTGTGTGCCTATGTCCTGCGTGGACTGTGGTTGTTCCAGATGTTTAGTTGAGTGGGTAGGACCTGGCAGCAGAGTAATGTGTAGCAACAGTGAAAGGCAAACACATTTAAGCAGTTCCATCTGAGTAAAGGACATTTTCTCTTCCCTCAATTTTCTGTTTTATTGCAGTCAGAAAGCCTTGGGCTGCTGATCCACATTTTCCTCAGACTCAGGGCCTTAGGCTGTGAGTTTCTCCATGGCTTGAGTTATTCTGTTCTTTTGTTTTTACTGAACACAGTGAGGTTTATACAAAACCTGTGTTTATACAACATGTGTTGTTTTCCAGCCTGTGGGATTACTCACGTCTATTTTGATCCCTTCTGAGGTGAAACCAAGCTTTCTCAGCCTTGAGTGGACAGTTTACAGAGCTATAGTTTGAATTACAAAATGGTGAGCTGCTGAGAATACATAATCTATAGAAAACTGCCGTTACAAATAAAAACACTTTCAATCAGTAAATCAACAGTGTGGTCAGTGATGCTTACATCCAATTGYTATGTTGTCACATTCAGCAATCAGGTTCCAGGAAAACAGTGTTGAAAATAAAGGATGGAGAGAGCTGACTGGTGACTCCATCAATGAGGACAGCACATAGGACCATTTTCCTTTGTTGCTCTGGAATGAAAGCTTTGCTACCCAGTTAAAGGCCCTTTATCACTTGGATAGCAATTAACAGGAAAGACTGAAAAGCTGATTTAGCTGAGCAATTCTGTGCCACATACAAGAAAATATTCAAGCCAACTCAGTTGCACYGGGAATACTTTTAAAATTAAACTCAAATTTGAAACTTATCTTCAGGAAATAGAAACYGGTGTCAGACTAATATAAAGTAACTTGAAATGGCGTAATTTCAGCAAAACACTTCTGCCTTTTCTCAAGCATTTTCTTTAGCATTTTGCTGAAGACTTTGACTTCTTAATGTTTCTTCTTCTGAAGAGATGATTCAGACCAATAGGGCTAAGATCACATTGTTTTTCCAAGTCAATATTCTACTAATTGCAGTCTGTTAAATCACAATGCTTTATATAGTTTCTCCAGGCCTCCTGAATACAGAAAACATTATTCAAGAACAATGTGAAAGTTATTTAATGAAAGATAATAGACCTTTAGCTGCAAGAGATCCTCTGCCAAGCACAACTAATAAAACTAATAGAAATTTGATAGGAAAAGTTGTTCTTGTAATCTGCTTGTAATTGAGAAGTGCTTCAGATAAAATAGAATGTCAAAGGACTAGCTTGAACTGAAAGATTTTGTCTTGATTCTTACATTGCAATCTTGTGTTTAGCACTTTGCACTACATTTCTGTTATGAGAATAAGAAAAGCTTAAGAAACTGACAATCTCCCCACGTGTAAGTTGCTATGAACTGGTTTGTTATAAAGGAACAGTGCATCTTACAGTGATCTTTTAGGGCAGGATGATTTCCCAGCTACCATGGAATCAGACAGTAAGGGACAGTGCTGATTTGCCCAATGCATTCTTAAAATTTTTCATCTTTGCATTGGTGCAGCTTGTGGTGTCTCTGTGTAGAATGGAGACTACCTGAAAAGAAGAGTGAGATAAAGCATGTCCTTGGAGTTTACATCTGTAAACTCACCTTTAGCCTTACTGCTCGGAGCCCGTGAAACTGAGGTAATTTGGGTAAGTGCAATCTAAGTTGTATAAAGCATATTTATCTTACTATTTCAAATTAGGTGTCCCGGAGGTACAGAAGAGGTGAAACATTTTTGAGAAAGTGGCTGTCCCTGCAGAAGTAGTGGGTATTTGAGGCTTCAGTGGAATTTGGATAGGGACTGTGCTGAGCAAGGAGATTTCAGTGCTAATGTGCTTCTGTAAGACTGGGAGCTTCTTACTTAGGTGAAGCAACATCTCTGGGTGGCGTCTGCAAGTGAGGTTGTTTCRTGGGCTCAGAACAGGAGGAATGAAGTGAAAAATGCGAATATGTTGTGTGGTGTAATTTAGAAGCCACTTTTCTTCATTTCCTGTGTCTGTTTCCTGTGTGTTTTTGGAAGACTGAAGTTTTAGGTTTTGTTTTTTTTTTAAGTCAGAGCTTAGTCAGTTCTCTGATACATTATCAGACCATTTGTTATCAGGCTGTGGGGTAAGACCAATGCTTAGTGACAAAATGCAAATAGTAATTTTTTTTTTCTATAGTAGTATTTTGCTAAGAAATTTATAATTCTACCCTTTCAGAAAAAAAATCCTTATTCTGCACTTTTTAGTGCTCTGTACATGTTATTCAGAAATGGAATCTGAGCCAAATGTAGTATTAAGCACAGAGAAAGTGATACTTTGTTTAAATTTGGTGAGAAGGAGGATTAATATTTCCAAAGAGCTAGCTCTTGCAGCATTTACTGCAAAATATGCCTACTATTTTTCRCTGTCCAGGACAAAAATTAGAATTGCTGGGTCTTAAAAAATTGTCTGCAAAATTTGCGTTAAACCTAGAAATATCTGTACCTGATTCTGGATAGCACTTAGAGAAAAATAATTAAATTAATTATATTCTATTCATTTAGGATTGTATCTTTTCAATTACTTAAGATGCTGAACTTTCAACATTTTGTGTTTAGAKTTTTAGAAATTTATATTTGCATTAAAGTCACTTTAGTGAAAGATATGTTTTTATGTTTTTTTTAAACTCTTTTAAGAATACCTTGCTGCACAGAGGGACAGTCATGCCTTGTTTTCTGATTAATGATCCAACTAAGAGGTAATCCTGTGGAAAACAGAGCAGAAAGAGGATTAAAATATTCTGCTGGATCAGAGAAGGAAACAGCAGAAACGTGCATGGGGTTAAGGAGAAGCGGGGGATGAGTGATACTTTCAGGGTCAGTGGCCTTATGCCAAGCTAAGATAATTGAGAAAGTAATACAGATTTTAGTTATATTTGTAATAGCTAGTCCAACTGATTCTAAATCATGATCGATTTCTGTGTCCAGTGAAGTGAATGCCTGGTGACTCATTGTGTGCTGCCCTTGTTTACAGGGCACCYGGTCCTGAAGGAGTGAGGTATTTGACAGTAGAGAGAAAATTGTGAAACACAAATGTCAGATAAGAGACGAACTGGATAGATGGTTCAAAGGGAATGTCCTGCAGAGGAACAGGGCATGTGCCTGTCTCTGCTTTCATCTAGAAGAGGAAGTTCAAATGCAATCATTTTTATATCCTRTGAATTCAGCAAGATGGTTTTGAATCAATAGTTCCGTGCCATCTGCAGAAGTCTGTCCCTGGACAGTGTCAGTCTGATGGTCTCAAACATCCAGCACTATCTCAAAATGGATTAATTTTGGCTGCAYAGTGCTCTGACTCCAGCCATTCTCCCATCTCTGTATTACTTCAGAGTAATGATACCTAACAACAACACTACTGCTGTAGTGGAAGAAAAAAGAGGTCAGTGGTCTGCACTTTTTGGTGGAATTGTCATGTCCAATTGCTGAAATAGCCCACCCAGCACTTACTGCTTCCATGGCAGTCTGTGTGCCACTCCCTGTAGAGCTGAGACCTCCTAGGCTGCACTTAGATCAGCAATGTGCGAGGGCAATTCTGCTCTTTCAAGCCTTTTTAAGGGAATCTTTCTATGGCTGTCTTCCCTCACCTGAGGGCATAATGTCTGCTTTCTTTTTTTTYTCTATCATTGACAGTTTTGCTTCTGTCCCACTGACCATGATCCAGGCCATTCCAATTCCGGGTCRCTTTGCATGACCTGCTGGTGGAGGGCAGCACTCTCAGCAATAAGGGCAAAGCCAGAACAGAATGTTATGTTGACTTGTTGACAGATTACCTCACACTGGTCTTGTTTCTGGCAAACGACCTTTAGTAGGTCAGAAGGACGGCTCTGCAGTGTAGATCGGGTACAATGGAATGTCTCTGCCAGTCTAAGAGA